CTCATCATGTTAGGTAGGGGTGAAGGAGAGTGACAGAAGGTATCTGAATAATGTGAGATAAGAAGGATGGGAGAAGAAAGAGGTCTTGGTGAATGTCCTCAGTTTTTTCATTAAAACAAAAGGCAAGGTTCTCACCTGAGAAGGTGAGGGAAGGTGGAGTCATGGGAGGTGTGAAAAGGGATGAAAAGGTTTGCAAGAGCCTCTGTACAGAGTGGGATAGTGAGTTAATTAAGGAGACAAGGCAAAAAGATTGCCTAGCTTCAATGTGGGTCTGGTTGAGATCATGCAATATAAAACTATAGTGGTCCCAGGCACTCAAGTCAACACAGTTGCATGATTTCTGCCAGGGCAAAAACCAATTCCAGCATGGGGCTAATTCAGAACTTCCTAGTGGTAACAGATGAGGTATGTGAGAAATATAGGAAGAAGGCTGACCTGATTGGAGTGAGGAATGAAATAAGTGCAGATCCAAGACAGAATATTGGCCTGGAGAGATAATGAATCTGATCCAGTAGACTTTTTCTTGGGTTTTTAGGCTGCAGGACTAGCTAGGAATAACTACAGAAGTTCTGGGATTCAGGCTGAATTGGTAGTACTTTTGAAGCCAAAAGCCCACATGATGCTGATATCTATTCAAAGGACTATGCCAGTCCAAGATATCCGTGAATATTTAACTAATAAATAAGAGCAATTCCTACTTCTAAAATGCTTTAAGGTTTACAAAGTGCTTTCCTCACAACCCTGTGAAGTAAGTAGTGCAACTACATCAGAACAATCCACTTTTGTTAAGGTCTGGACTTCTATGCAAAACCATCTAGAGCAGCGCTTCTGAAACTGTGGGTCACGACTCCATAGGGGGTCGCAACCCACAGTTTAAGAAGTGCTGAGGGTGGGGGTGGGGGGGGCGCACGGCTAGGTGGTGCAGTAGATAGAGCACCGGCCCTGGATTCAGGAGGACCTGAGTTCAAATTTGGCCCCAGACACATAACACCCACTAGCTGTGTGACTCTGGGCAAGTCACTTAACCCCACTGCTTAACCAAAAAAAAAAAAAAGTGCTGAAGGGGTTGTCAGTGGAAACAGTTTAAGTAGCCTTGATCTAGAGTTAACCTCTAGTATCCTTCAACATGGGACATTCACATGGGGCTCTGCCTGTATTATCATTGGAGAAGCATTCCATTTTTGAATGGGTTACATTTCAGAAGTCTGCTTACAAATTAGTTGTTCGGAACTCATGAACGTATTTTCCCAAAGAAATGGTATTTAAAAGGTCTAGTAGCACTGTAGATCCCAAATACATTAAGAGTTCTCATTTGGAATTACCTTCACACTCCAGAGCTCTAAAATTCCTCAGATAACCACTTTCTAACCAATCCCTTCTCCGTTTGTCTCTAGACCCTCTACCTCTTCCAGGCCATTATCCCTTCTAGGGCTTTATTTCCCTCTCTTTGAAGTCTTGAAGCTATAGCTAACCAGTTCCCTTTGACCCCTTGGCCTAACTCCTAGTTCTGGGTTACCCTCCACCATCTACCTTTTCTGCTTCTTCTTGCATGCTACTCAGTAGAGTCAGCATGAGTCTCAAAACTATAAATTCATTAGCCAATCAGAGGTGGGAAGGCTGCAGCAAAGCTCTGCTTTTATTCTTTTGCTGAAGAATAATCAATAGATGTAATATAATGAATTGTCATCCCATAGTAGCTGTTCCATACCTTCTCAAGGCTTTTACTGAAGAAGATCTGAGCAAATAGCAGCCATCTGGGGTAAACCTCCCAGTTCCTCTATTTCATCCATTCTTGGTTTCCTATGCTTTCTTCTAGGAGGATGATTTTGATCCTTTGTGACTCTGCTATAGCATCTGCCACCACTGACCACCCACTCCCTCTTTCCTCCCTTGCTCTCTCTCAGTTCTCCTCCTGCCCATCAGACTCTTCCAACTCGTTTTTGTTGGGCTTATCACCAAGAGTCACTGATGGGTGTTGTCCTCAGTTTTGATCTGGACCCTCTTCTTTTTTTTTTCCTATGCCCTCTCCCATGGTGATCTCATCCCCTTCCATGGGTTCAATTATTTCTATAGAGATGACTCCCTAATCTCCTAAAATCCAGGCCCACGTCACCAATTGCCTCCTGGATGTTTCCACCTGGATGTGCTGTAGGTAGGTAATCTCCAAGTGAACATGGCTCAAACACAAAATGTATTTTTGCCTGATTGGAGCATTCACTTCTTTAACCTTCTCCTACCTTTCTCTCTCTTTAAAAAAGAAAAAAAAAAGGTAACATGTTTACTCCTGTCACTCCCAATAACTTGCTGCCCCTTACCCTCCTTAGAACTCTCCTTTGTAACAAAGAAGTACAGTTGGGCAAAACAAAGCAGCACTTTGCCTATGTCCAACAACATGGGCCTCATTCTCCACCTACAGTCTATGAGTTGCTATCTGCCAAGAGAAGGGACTCAGCTGACTTTTCCAGACTGCCTTCACATCACTCTCCCTCATACGTTCTAGCTGCAGCCAAATAAGCCATCTCCCCCCTCCACGCCTATACAAGGGCTGACTCCCGTGCTTGAGGTGTACCCTCCCCCTACCTACTCCTGCCCCATGTCCTTACAAAGCCTTTCCTCATTGCTTCATTAATGCTCTCTTCTGTCCTCCAATGATATTTACCAGAAGGGAGGCTCCTTGAGGGAAGACATCTGCATAGTAGGTGACTAATAAAAACTTGTCAGAATGGACTAAGCTCCCCTAGTAGCTCTTCTGGCCTGTGACAGACTCTCCAAAATGGGGTGGGGGTGGGGGTAAGCACCCAGGATGGGGGTTTTACCTGTTTCTTCCTCTCCTTTTTACCTCTGTTGCCAGCTGTCCCTATGGACATGACAGAGTAGAGGAGGCAGGACAGAGCCAGTGGTGGAGTCTGCAGCATTGAAGAGAAAGAGAGGGAGAAGCAAAGGCCAGAAGGAAAATCTCTTGAACATAATGCATGAGTCAAGTATTTGGTTGTCCAATTGCCTGTATGAAATATCCATTTTGAGGTATACTGCCCAGCAATGAGTATTCATGGCCTTTTCTCAATTCTCATTCTCCTTGACCCTGTTTGCAGCAGCCTTTGAACACAGCTGATCACACTCTTCTCTCTAGGTCTTAGGAACATATTCTCCCCCCCCCACCCCCTCCTGTTCTCCTCCTACTGCTCTGCCCACTCCTCCTCTGTCTCTTTTGCTAGATCCTCCTCCTGATCACACCCTTTAACCACAGATGTCCCCCAGGGCTCTCTCCTGGGCCCTCTTCTCTCTATCCTACTTCACTTGGGGATGTCATCAGCTCCCATGGATTTAATTACCATCTTTATGCTGATGAGTCTCAAATCTACCTTTCCTGCCCAATCTCTCTGCTGACCTCCAATCTCACATCTCCAACTGCCTTTCAGACACCTTGAACTGGATGTCCACTAGACACTTTAAACTCAACATGTCAAAAACAGAAGTCTTTTCCTCTAAACCTACCCCTCACCCCTGCCACCTTCCATATTACTGCTGAAGTCACCACCATTCTCCCAAGTCCCCTAAGCTCACAAGCTAGGAGTCATACTGGACTCCTCACTCTTTCACCCCCATATCCAATCTGTTACCAAAGGTTGTCAACTGCTCCTTTGCAACATCTTTTGAATACACTGCCTTCTCTTCTCTGACACTGTCACGCCTTTAGGGCAGGCCTTCATCACCTCACACCTGGACTACTGGAATAGCCATCCAGTAGGTCTGCCTGCCTCAAGTCTCTCCTCACTCCAGTTCATTCTCCATTTAGCCACTAAAATGATTTTGCTAACAGGCAGGTCTGACCACATCACCCCCTACTCAATAAAACTCCAACAACTCCCTATAATCTCTAGGAATTCAAAATCCTGCTTGGCATTCAAAGCCTTTCATGACCTGGCCCTCCTATCTTTTTAGTCTTCTTATACCTTACTCCCTGACATGTGGCCTTTGATCCAGTGACGCTGGCCTCTTGGCTGTTCCACAAACAAGACCCTCCATCTCTCAGTTCCTGGCATTCTCTCTGGCTATCCTCCATGCCTGGAATGTTCTCCCTCCTCAACTCACCTACTGATTTGTCTAGTTTCCTCTAAGTCCCAATTGAATTCCCATCTTTTACAGGAAGCCTTTTCCAAGCCTTCTTAACTCTAGTGCCTTTCTTTGTTAATTATTTCCTATTTATTCTTTGATAGCTTGCTTTTATATATTTGCTTGCATGTTGTCTCCTCCTTTAGACTATAGTCTTGAGGGCAGGGACTATCTTTTGCCTTTCTTTATATTCCCAGTGCCTAGCACAGTGGCTGGCACATAGTAGGTGCTTAATAAATGCTTCCTGACTGACCTGACTGATTCATGCCCAGCCACATGCTTTGAAGAGATAGGCATCAGGGTAGAACTTCCTGGATTTGAATCATGGCATTGCTATTTGTATCTCAGATTCAGAGGACCAACAAAAAACAGCTAAATTGGAGTTTAAAGATGTTCTGAAAACTGTGAGGTTCTCAGCACTCTCCAGATTTATAATTAGAAAAGAAGGTCATATGGTGAGAGCAAAGGATATACAGTGGACAGCCTGGTGGCTCCATTTATCTTGACCCAATGTCAAGAAGTCTAGAGGGAGGCTGCCATCATTTTTGGCAGACTCCTTGTGGAAGGTTTATGGGAGGACATGGACTATACAAGATGGGCAGCCATGGATGGATTGTGACCTCCACAATCCATGTGGAGGACATAACTACATGAACGAGATCACGTGAGTCCACAGTGGATACTGAAATATTTTCATATGGCCTAAGGAAGCTATGGAAATCATTTTCATTATCTTGTCAACCTTTTAGTGAGAAAGGCACATTTAGAGCAGACATCAACTTCTTGTTTAGTGACTGTGAAGCAGTTTCTCAGCACCTCACCTTCTCTAAGGACAACATGAGCAAACCATGCTCATAGGAGAACACAGAGAAGCTTGCCGAACTTACCATCACTGCGATAATGATGATGACGGTGAGCTTCAAGTTCTTCATACACATGGCTCTGGCAAGGTTCCTGCTAGTAGTTTTGAAGGTGACTGACTAGAAAAAAATGAGTGAAGAGTTTGATCTGTAATATTCAACATTCCATTCTCTCAGTAACTTCTGAAATATACCTTGCTTCTCCCAGAAAGCTCTGTTGAGCATACATATAAAATTAGGCTTGAACCTTTTCTTCACTGTTTCTTTAAAACATTTGATTTCTAAGTAGAGAAAGGTAAGCGAGAAATACAAAAGGGCGGGCAGCTAGGTGGTGCAGTGGACAGAGCACCAGTCCTGAGTTCAAATCCAGCCTCAGACATATAACACTTACTAGCTGTGTGACCCTGGGCAAGTCACTTAGCCCCATTGCCTAGCCAAAAAAAAAAAAACCTACAAAAGGGACAAAAATAGTATTTATTCTAAACAAGGCCAATAGCAAGCAATCCGTTTGAAAAAAAGAAACTCAACTTGGGCCCCAAACTTCAGCTCCCAATTGATAATGTCCCCTCTTTCCCTACTGCTATATTACTGCCCCATTTCATTTTGGTCAGAGCTATTAAAGGCTGGGAAGTTGCTGCCTGGGAAAACACAGACCATATTGCTTCTTAGTAACACTGAACACTGAAGGAGGATGAGAGGTGGGCGAAGGGGCTAAACAAACTTTAGCAGTCTATTGAAACTTTGCTCATCCCTATGAGCTTTTTAGTTAAGGGTTTGTACAATATGGCAAAATCTTCTGGCTTAACATCTGGGCACCTATTAAAAATGTCAGCACTTAGTACTCTTTAACAAAGGCTGACATTTAGTTTCAATGCTACTTCTACAACTAAGCTGCTCATGCTGCAATGGTTGAAAGAAAAGTAAAACTTGAATTGGAGTCCATTAATCAGTTCTTGCTAAGGGTAGAGTGGCTCATCACCAGGAGGCTGCCAACTGGGGAGGACTTCATGGTGATCCATGAAACAAACACAAAATAAGTCTGTGAAGCCTCTGCAGTGACAGTAGGCAAGTGGCAGCAAAGAGTTTGGACAAAAGGCCTAATGATCCCAGTTTATAAACTTTAACTTGGCTGTTGGGGACTCTAAATATGAGACCCTTGCCTCAAGATCAACAAGCAGACATACTGTTTGGGGACCAGGATCCTATCAATCTTGACATTTTGGCTATAAATAGAGCCAGAAGAAAGAAGGATGTCGGCACCAAATGGAAAGATGGTGTGAGGCACTCCTTGGAGAGGCAAAGGAGTGGAGAGAATTGCCCAAAGGCATACTACACAGTTTTTCATCTCATATTGCACTGCTCCTGATAAGTATCTGCAAAAAAGACCACCAGAGAGTCACTGCAGCTTATGCACCAATAGTTATTGTAAAGGATGAAGTGGGAGAGACATTCTACATAGAAGTCAATAAGACCCTCCCAACTAGGTCAACAGAGGTTTTGGTACTGGTACCCTTCAATGAAATGGTGGGACTGGCAAGGATGGTGTGGAATATACTGGAAAGCACAGTTTAGGAATTAGGATTGAAAAAAGCTAAATACTTGTAGACTGTACACAGAAACCTCATGCCTCTACATCATAAACCTTTGAGAAGAGAATCACTAGGTACTAGACAGGATAAGTGCTAGGTAACGTTACAAAAAGTGAAATGGATTTATATTTTGATAGGAAGTAATTTGTTACTGATGTGGTGATTACTGTTAATCCTGAAGTAGCTATCTATATACACTCAGAGTAGTAGGGAGGATTTTATAGGAGGCAATGTGGCGTAGCAGAAAGACCACAGAACTTGGAGTTCCAAGACCTGAGTTCAAATCCCAGCTCTAATGCTTACTATCTGTGGTACATAACTTCTGAGCCTCAGTTTCCTTATCTGTCAAATGAAGGAGTTAGATTAGATAACCCCTAAGGCCCCTTTCAGCTCTAGATCAGGATCTAATGAGCCTAAAGGGAAGAAGCAGACTTTCTCCCGTGACATGCTAGAGCACACCACAACTTTACCATCATGCAATTGACTAAGAGGTGTTGAAAATACAATGAAAAACATTTGATTTGATAGAGCAAAGTACCATCTCTTCCAACAAGGTGTCTCTTCTCTATGTATCAAAATTATTTAAGATAAAACAACAGAGATATTATCAGATAGGACTTAGAACAGAGAGGGGTATGACTACACAAGGTATTCACTACTATGATGGAGTGGCAGAGCCTCCTGGAAGAAATTTTCGACAATGTAGAGGAGTCTGAACTAACCATCCACACAGGAAAAACCAAGTGGATGAAGAATGTCTATTAACTGTATGCTGCACACAGTTGAAAACGTGTCTATAAGTATAGATAGATACACTATACAAATGGACATTTAGTTGGGCTCAGAATTAAACAGAAAGAGGAGAGAAGGCTGGATTACCTTCAGGAAACTGTAACACTCTCTTAATAATCCCAAATTTCTCCCAGAAACAAAGGTTTATCTTTTAAATACCAATATACTACCAATATTATAGAGGTGTGAGACATGGAACATAACAGTCTTTGAAGAATCAAAAATAAGTATTGCAGTAAGGGCAAGGAAAAACTCATGGTGGGTGTGAATAAGCTACAACATAAAACAAATAAGGAACTTTGCAAAACAGGAGTAAAGGATGTTATTAGGGAAATGCATGACTGAAAAATAAGACAGGCTGGCCATGTGGTGAGGGATAACAGCTGGACAGCCCATGTTCCCTCTGTAGCTTCCTTGCAATGTAAGGTGACACTGAGGAAGGCCCTCAGCATGTTGGGAGAAATGCTTATGGGAGAACATGGACAGTAGTTGAACAGGCTGGGCAGGCATGGATGTACTGGAATCTGCACTGGTGGAGGGAACATCCCCAGATCCATCTGAGTACTTGAGTATAATAAAACAGTGGCTTACCTCAACTGCCCATCTGGAAAGCACAGATCACAGTTTCTGTTCAAACCACAAAGCTTTTGATCTCATTCATCCACAAAGAAACTCCACTACTTTACCTTAAACTAAGTCAGGATAACATAACAAACGCTAAGTTGATTCAAAACTAGAGAAAGATTTTTTAAAATCTATACAATATAAGAGAGGTAAACAAGCATTATTTCATGTCCACTCTTTAAAACCAATCCCAAATGTTTCTTTTTTAAAAAAATCTAATCCCAGCCTAAATCTGGTGACCTAATAGGGAACTTATCAACACTCTTTTATTTTCGATCCACATAGACTATGAAAGAGCTACATGAGTTGCACTTGGCTACATCTGATCTTTTCTTGAAATTTAATACACATTTATTAAGCATCTATTATATGTAATGAATGGTGCTGGTCATTAGAGGAAATACAGAGATAAGTCAGACAGATCCACTATCCCCAAAGTCTGAGTCTTCTCACAAAAAATTTGTAAAGAGATAAAGACACTAAAAATTGGAACATGAAAAGTAAATAAGGGGAGAACAAAGTGCTATTGACATTAATACGTGATGGAGAAATCACTTTCAGGGGCCAGGGAAACTGGGAAAAGCTTTATGGAAAAGATGGCCATTTGAGCTGAACCTTGACAACAAGTGCATGCAAAGGCATCAACGTTCTCCAAACTGTTTGCCTAGCTTATCTAGAGGGCATGCTATACCACAGCTCCCTGTTATCTCAAGCCGAAAAGGTTGCTTAGTGACAGATTGTAGAATGTCTTGAATAGCAGGCACATGCCATGGTTTCTCTTTTTCCAAATGCAGGCTCCCTGAACATTCTGGCAAGAAGTGAAATGGCCCACATAGCCAAGACACGGACAATTCTGTCCTTTGGGGAGAAAAAAGTTTATTTCTATGTAATAAGGGAGCCGTCTAAAACAAATCTTTATTGACTATCAATGGGGTAAAGTTCTTAATCCTGCCTTTCATTCATCCTGTCTAGCTCCATGTAGACAAACAAGTGTGCCTGTTCAAAGAATTAAGGTAAGGAGAGGGGAGGATTAAGAGAACAGAGGGGAGCTGCTTTGGTCTGAGAGGAAAACCTGTGTCATCTCAGGCAGGAACTTGGAAAGAAGAGAAGCTGGAGTCCTATATTGGATCTCCCAGTTCTTTCCTGACTCCAACTGATACATTTCAGGACCCTGGGGAGATCATGAGCCCCCCTGAGGTCAGTGGGCTCACTGCCTATTCATAATCCAGACCAAGCTGTTATTCACTGGCCTCTGGAATGATGGGCCTGGCCAATGGTGAATGGACAGGGGCAAAAATGAACATGCACTGCTCTCTGGTTTGTCCATAGCTTTACAGATGGCTTTGCTACTTCTGCCTATTTCTCTCTTATATTTGTGTTATTTTGGATCTCCATGTCTCATAATGGTTAGCAAGAACTATGACAGAATTATAGTTCTCAACAAGCATACGAAATCAATGTGACTCCTGAGTAAAGGGCATATGGCAACTGATTTTCCCAAGTGATTCTCATTTCCCTAAATCTGTCTTGCTTTAAGGCTACTCCAGGCAAGGCCAGTCTTCTACATATGCAGAGAAGTGGCTACCAGCCAAGCTGATATAATCTGAGGGGGGCCAGGAAGGCTTCAAAGAACTGCGATCTCATCAGTGTGGATGCTCACTCCACCAATGCAGATCACAACCCCTCTAACTTCATGAGTTTCTGTGGCCAAAAAAACCCCCACCCCAAACCAAAAACCAAAAACCAACCACATACTTGGTCACCAGCTTTCCCCAGATAACAGACACATAGTCTGTCATGAAAACCTTTCTGGCTTGGCAGGCCTGGCTAGAGCTTACCCAGCTTCTGAGAACCTAGTTATCACCTCCACACCATGAAGAGGCATTGGAGGAAGACTTTAGTAGAGAATCTCTCTACAGGGCTTATGAAGGTACTCCTTCCTAAGCTAATGGGAAAGGTGTTAGCTTATACTGAGTTACCTGATAAAAGGTATGGTTAAAGCCCGAAGTCCTTAGGCTTGCATTCAAGGCCTCTCCAAACTGGCTCTGGCCAATTCTGGCTTTGGCTCCTACTACCTCCTTTCCACATTCTTAGGAGAAAGCCAGCTGGGATTCTGAATTACTCTCTGTCCTTCAGGTTTCCTTAGTCACAATGTGTCTGTCTATAACATCTTCACCCACCTTCAAGGTCCAACTTAAAGGCTATGAAGCTTTCTCTACGCCTTCGGGCTGAAAGTGATTTCTCCCTTATGTTTGTACATGTCTTTTCTCTCTCTTTGAACACGTAAGCTCCTTATTGTCAGGGACTTACCTTACTCATCTTTGTATTTCCCCAGTACACTGCCTAGCACACAGTAGAAAGCATTTAGTAACAGCTAATCTGTTTGGAACCATACTCTGGAATTTCCCCCAATGACTCAGCCATCAAATCAAATGTGATTCTTGCAAAATACTTACTGAATCTACCAGATGTTCTGTTTTATCTATCAGTAACTCCAATCTTTCTCCTCGTTGGGCCACTAGATCTGGGGAGCAGAGGAGGAGAGAGGGGAAGGGGAGTAGCAGCAGAATAGGGAAATAGAAAAGAAAAAGGCCAGTTTAAAATTCTGCTATTTTTGTTCTTGGTTATAACCAAGTTTGTCTGATTCCATGGCTGGCACCCTTGCCAACGTTTGTTCACTACAGAATCATTAATACCCTTAAATGACTGGAAGGAATAAAAAAGACCAAAGCATCATCTCTCTCTATAAAGAGATAACTACTATTGCAATATGTGAGGGAGATAAGGAAGCAGCTTGTCCAATAATTTCTCTAATCTTTTTAATCATTTCTATCTAATCTACTAGTTCTCTAATCATTTCTAATCAAATGCCCCAAAACTAACAACTATTCACAGCTATTAATATTCAAGCTATTAATAAAAGATCAAATTTAGGAACTAAAATTGAGATCCCCTTCAATAATGCCATCTTGAAAGATGATCAATTTAAGTACCACTCAACAAAAGTTATGAGTTAACTTTAAACTGTTTAGCATGTAAGGTTTTGGAGAATAAGCTTGGGTTTGAGAGAGTCAGGACAAAAATGGACTCCACAAGTTGGAAATTATGATAGACTTCTTTTTTTAAAAAGCATTGAAACTTGTTCGTGTATACTTTTCTCTCTACAAAACTTGTATTTCTAAGGAAATTATAGTTTAAGGTATAGATTTACAAGGAGATCTTTACCTTACTCTATTTTTTTTTATTACTTACCAATGTTAACACCTCTGACACTGTTAAACTATTATGGTCTTTAGGGGGAATTTGTCTTGCTTTGTATTTAAGCATGGTCAGAAGATACAGAAGAGATATATAAAACATGTAGGTAGGGTCACACATCATCTCCCTGAGTGAACAACTGTGCTTGGGGGTAAACAGATGGGGAGAATCTTTCTAGCCAGTGCAGAATCCTGATGAGCCCAAGCAGCTTGGCCCCAGCCCCTCCATTTGCTCAGAGGCTTCTCCTACTAGACCACAAACCATACCAATGTTCCGGACCATGATTCCTTTTAATTCATCCACTTGGGCTTGAGTCTCCACCACTTTGTCCACATGTTTGTTCTCAGAGTGATGTTTCTATGAGAAAAGAAGGTTTATATGAAGCAACCTAACCACATGCAATGAAAACTTATTACACTGCAAAAATTAGCAAGAATGACAAGACCAGGAGAAAAAGTACTAGTAACTAAGAGGTATGTATAACCTACCTCTTGCTCAGAAATTTCATCATCACAGGTAGAAATAACACAGAAAGCAGAAAGAGACATTACAAGAAACAGAAAAGGAAGGATTATGGTACTAAAATATTTTATACTAAGGAAAAAAATTTAAAAAAATGTACATGAAAATATAAAACATATATCTGGGAGCCTGGGAGTAGAAAATGGGAAGGAGGCAAAGGAAGAATACAGATCATTCAATATGATAGGGAAAACAACACAAAACAAAACCCAGGAATGAAATAAGAGTTGAGAAGCTTCGACATCTGGGCCATCATTCATCCCCTCTTATACCTCTCTTGACCACAAGATGGTTTAAATATTTTTGCATTCACCTCTGATTACCTGGCACCATTTTCAATGTGTGTGTGTGTGTGTGTGTGTGTGTGTGTGTGTGTGTGTGTGTGAACGTAAGTTAGAAAATACGACAGTGGCACTTTCAAACAGGATGTCCATTGATTGGGGAATAGTTAAAAAAAAAACAACTACGGTAAGTGGATGTAATGGAAGAAATATCATATACATATATGTATGTAAATACAATAAACATAAAGAATTCAGAGAAGCAGGAAAAGGCAGCCACTTGAGCTGATGCAGAGTGAAGTCTAACTAGAAAATGATAGAGATGACTGTAAATCATGTAACTCATGATCGTGTAAATGAAAAAACAAAAAACAAAAAAGGAAATTCATCATTGTGTCATTACTATGGCCTCACTTGGCCCATGTCTCCCCCTTCCTTGCAGAGGTAGAAGACCACAGGTATGAAAAAACTGTATGTACTATCAGACCTAGATGGTGTGTCTGAGCAGAGTTAACCTGGGGTTATGAACTTGTTTTTAAAATATTCTGGTAACTGTATTTAAACATAAATAGTTTCCTTCGTAATCCTATGTATTTTATTTTAAGCATTTAAAAATATTATTCTGAGAAGAGATCCATAGGTGTCACCAGACTGCAAAAGGGAGCAGGAGACAAAAAAGGTCAGAAAAAGGCACTTCTAAAAAGCTCTCTTTTGTATTTTATCCTTTGTTAGAAGGGATACCTCTGGGAGGAGGCAAAGAAACTTTTGGAAAAGACACATTTAGAATGAAGGGAATTTAAAAGCCAAAATAGCAATTTTTTTTAAAAAAAATATGTCATTAAGTTCTTTGTGAATCCATAAACCTCTTCAGAATGGAATTCAGGAGTGAATCAGGAGTCCCAAGAGTGAATGAGGGGAATAAGGTATAAGAAGATTAGAAAGAGAGGAGGGGGTTAGGTTACTAAGGGCTCTGAATGCCAAACAGCATTCAGCAAACAGTATTTGATCCTGGAGGTTATAGGGAGCCACTGGAGTTTATTGAGTAGGAGGGGGATGTGACCAGATGGATGAATGGAGTCATTTGCAACAAGAAAATATTTGTAACTGTGGGAGCTAATGAGGTCACCCAGGATGTATGCATGGAAAGATAAGAGAGTACAACCTTATGAAAAGACAGGAGCGGGTGGTCAACAGTGTCATATGCTGCTGAAAAGTGAAAAAGGATTAGGACTGAGAAAAGGCCACTGGAAATGACAATTAAGGAGATCATTGGTAACTTCAGAGAGAGTAACTACAATCAAGGAACACAGTCAGAAACCAGATTATAATGAATGCAAACAGTCTTAATCCAAAGTTAAGGAAATCATCCAAATGGTAAATGTGGCCTTTGCCCCAGATACTCTGACTTCAAACTCAGTACATGATGCCATGGGGAGGGGGGGAAGGGATCTTCTAAATCTCTGATTCTGTGATCTAAAGGGACCGGAATAAAGACTGGATTTTCAACTGTCGTACTTGACTGACATTTTCACTACTTCTAACTCAGAGAATTTCTGAATTAGAAAAGGACCGCCACGGTCATCTAGTCCTGACCATACCTGAAAAGGAATCCCGACTCTAACACTTGACAAGTGCTCATTCAGTCTCTGCTTGAAGATCTCCATGAAAGAGAAACTCAACACCTCTCTAAGGCAGGACTTTCCACTTCTAGACAGCTCAAACTGTTAGGAAGTTTTTCCCCAACATCAAGCTTCTTTGCAAATTCCACCACTGCTCCAAGATGATCTCTCAGAGGCCAAACAGCACATGTCTAAGCCCAACAGTCCTTCTGAGTCTTCCCTTCTCCAGGTTAAATATCCTCAGGTTCTCCATAGGACACAGGACATGAACTCAAGGCTCTTTGCTATCATGGTAGACCTCTGGACCCTCTTAACCTGGGGTCCATGAACTTGTTTTAAAAAAGACTGTGATAATACTACTTCAATACTTTGTAATCTTATATATTTTATATATTTAAAAACATTACTCTGAGGAGGGATCTGGCTTCACCAGACTTGCCAAACGGACTGACAACACAAAAAAGGTGAAGAACTCTAGCCTAGCTTCTCAGGGTCCTTCCTAAACCCTAACCCTAACAGAACACAATAGTACAGATGAGGTGTGATCAGGGCAGAGCACAGAGGGAGTCTTGCCTCCTTATTCCTGGAAACTCTGCCCTTTGGAATGCAACAGCCCAAGATCACTGGGCTGCCTCACAGGGTCACTCACAGGCAGGTCACTAAAGCTCAAAGAACTTTTTGAGACAAACTGATGGCCAACCATGTTTTCCCCATGGCGTCAGGAACAGTGGAAGCTTACTGGATTTGAAGCTGGAGGACTTGGTACAAGGGCCAGATCAGCCATTCAGTACCAATGTGCCCTTGACTGGATGAGTGAGCTCCTTAACCTCTCTAGGCTTCATTTCCTCATCTGTTAGATGAGGTCTGTAGCCCTTTATCTAGTATTCTATTAGCCTATGACACATCTGGTACTTGAAGTTGAGTTTTGGAACCCAAGTATAAGACTTCATGCCTACTGAATTTCATCTTATTAAAGTCAGTATAATGTTCTAGTGATTAAGAGCTTTTGGGATCCTAATTCTGTAGTCCAATGTGTTAGTTTTCCCTTCTAATTTCCTGTCATCTGTAAAACTGGTAAGCATATCTACGGCTAGGCTTTCAGGCTAGGCTTTCATCCTAGGCATTGATAAAAATGTTCAACAGCATGAGGCCAAACACAGATCCCTGTGACAGTCCACTGAAGACATCCTGCCAAGCAGATACTGACCCAATAATGATTATTCTTCAAACCTGGCCTTTCCAACAGTTCCAAATCCATCTTCCTGTGTTACTAACACAATATGTTGTGGATGTTAAATGAACTCCTCTCTGTGCAATAATGTATTCTCAAACAATGATAAATTATATGGGGGGATCTTGTTCTATTAGAGGCTCCCCTGAATAAGCAAGAGAGCAGAGGTTAATTCTCTTGTGGCTACCTTGGGGCCTAAACCCTCAAAATGATGACAATTACATCCCTATAGTGCTGGCATTTCAGGAAAGTTTGTGAAGTGCTTTACAAACAAAAACTCATCAGTACTCCCAACAACCACCCTTTGAAGGAGGGCAGGTACTACAGAGTGGAGGAAACTGAGACTCAAAAAGCAAGTAAGTGTTGAATGGGATTTGAATTCAGGTCTTCAAACCTAGCTCTATTCATTACACTAAATAAATAAATAAAACAAAATTTTTTTAAGATTAAAACTTTAATCACAAAACAACACCCCTCCTATCTTTTAAAGCCCAATTGTGTAGCATAATGAAGAATGTGCTGGATTTGGAGGCAGCAGAGACTTGGATTCAAATCCAACCTACCACCTGTGTGATCAGAGATAACACCACCTCACTGAGCCTCAGTTTCTTCATAGGTTAAATGCTAACACTACTTGTAACACATATCTGGGAGGGTTGTTGTGAGGAAAGGCACTTTGTAAATCCTAAGATAAGACAGAAATGTGAATGATTAGTTTGGTTTGAACAATACACACATTCCGCATAAGGCAATTTGATTTGCAACAGATCAAAGTTCAACAAGCCATTTAGAATCATTCAAAATTGAAGTGTCCAAAGTGAAAATAACACAACAATCCATTATCTGTGACCTGCAATCACCAGGTTAAACAAAAACAATCATCCCATCAGAAAGTACTTATGAAGGCATTCAGGTTCTGCTTTGATAATCTTAAAAAGTCAAAATTTTAAAACAAGAGATCTACAGCAGATCCCTCCATTTCCTTGCTCTAATTCCCTCTAACACCAAGAAATCTAGCTCCTGGTCCCTAAAGCTACCATTTCTATAGCCCTTTATCTTTCCTGTAACTTCATGAGATTCACCCTCATATTCATGAAATTCTGAAGGCTCAACTACTTGGCAAGTCCTCTGGCTCCTTCTCAGTCCGAATTTTGGGGTCCTAACTGTATTTTACACTACTGACCACCCTCTCCTCAAGATGCATCCCTGGGCTCCTTCGAAGCTCCATGAGTCCTGTTTACCTCCTACTTAGCTCTCTAGCTCCTCTTCTAGCCCCTTTTCCCTTTACACATTCTCCTCATCAGGAACTGGATCCATCAATCACTGCTTCAACTGTCATCTCTATACTGATAACTCTACAAACTTAGGGATTTCTAAACTTAACTTCTCTCCTTTACTTGGCCTGTATCTCCAACTGCCCACTAAACACTTCCATCAAGATGGCCCATTACAACCTCAAACAACATATGTAACAACGAACTCACCATCTTCCCCTCCCTCAATCAGCTAGTTTCCCTCTCTGCCCAACAGGCACCACCATTCTCCCAGGCTCAAAACCTGCCATTTCAACTCTTCCTTATCTCTCTACATATCCAGTTACCAAATCCTGTTGGTTCTCCCTCCAAATTTACCTCTAAACACATCTCTTTCTTTCCATTACCACAGCTACCAGTCCTAACCTTTATCATCTCATACCTCAGTTAC